TCGATCTGCGCGACTGAAGCCCTACCGTCGCGAAGTCTGAACGCTGCCTTAGGTTGGCCCATAAGTAATAGCGTTTTTTCTCACACAAGTTTTTATATGGAAAATGACAACTGGTGCCAATGTGTTCGTCATTGATAGATAATTTTCCGCTCTATAAGACCGTGTGGTTGCCATTCATACTTTTCTTGGTTTCCGTCGATTTTTATTTCTCTGAAATGGAGTGTCCGGTCGTCACAAAAGTGAGTTTTCGACAACAACTTTTGGCCTTTATCTCGGCTCCCGACCTACAGAAGAAGCTCGAAACTCGTGGTATATATGGTCAAAGAGAGATGCGTCTTATGACAGCTTGAAGTTGGTTCAAGCGATCAAGACATGGGAATTCGGACCTTGTAAATGTTCAGCGCACGGGGCGCCCTCTTGGGGGCGGCTGCCTGCAAAACCCATCCACCAACTTTCGAACGTCTAACATCAACTGAGGAAGGTAGTTGATAATGAAAAGGAAGCATTCCATGACCTCTAACGACTCCTCAATCTTTGGCATGAATCTCCTTTGAAGGCAGCGCCCCATTCATTTGATGTTCCTACGCCCTCAGATATCGTAGCTTTGTCGACAAGGGTGGAGGATGTACTAATTTCGCAGCTCAAAAATACGAGAGGATGGCGCCACCCGCTTGTGAAGAGGATGCCGCCCCGCCCACCTGGCTGCCATAACTGCTTTGGCTTAGCCTTTAAAGGCTGAGCCCGCTTTCAAGAATAAGTTATGGAGCTAATATGTGATCCAGTAGTGAAGAAAAAGCAGAAAAAATCATGGAAAATGCCCTATATAGAACCCTATGCTGGCCAGGTGGGCGGGGCGGCCGACTCTTCACTAGCGAACGGCGCTATCCTCTCGCCTTTTTGAGATGCAAAACTAGTACATACTGCATAACATCAAATGAACGTGCGCGCTGCCTTTAATGAGGTGATTCCGTAAGCTCTCAGTTGGACACAATAGGGCATTAGGTTCGATACTTGTCTATGAGGTGGAAATTGAAATCTTCGAATAACTTAAAGGTTGTTAGTATTCCTAAGAGACATAGCCTTTCAGCCATATACTTAGCAGCTGGGCCCATGCGGTTTTAGCTTTTTAATTAGAGGTATAAAAGAGAGGCTGTCGAAAATGCTCAATTTCGTCGACCTGACACTCCAGTTTGAGCACTTAAATATTAGTGGAAAGAGAAACTTCAAGAAAACTAAGAAGACTATCGTATAGGGCAAGGAATTCTCTGCAAAACAGTATAAAACTCAATGACAAAACTTTTCATCTTTAGCGCGATATTTCGAGTGAGAAAAAACGCCATTTTATGGGCCGACCCAGTAGCAGACACCTCGTCATACAGTGGAGAAAGAGACTGAGATCCAGTGCTTGATATAGAGGCGTGCGTCACAATGCCTCTCTGTCAAGCGCTGGATTGTTTTTTTTCATTTTAATAAATAAAAGTTATACCGTTGGCGTAGGATTCGGTTGAGGAAAAGGAGTCGGTGGCGGCTGAGGTGATGCGGAGACTTGCTGAGGCAGAGGCGTTAAAGGAGGTTTCGTAGAGTTGCTGTTTGCCGTGCTGACCGAAGAGTTAGGAGAAGGAGCTTTCGCCGTGCTAACTGGAGGTGTAGTTGTGATAGAAGCAGCAGGCTTCTCCGAGCTAACTGCAGGTGTAGGCGGTGCAGATTTCGCCGTATTAACAGAAGTTCGATCAGATGTAGGCTTGGCCGTGACGACTCGAGCTGAAGGAGATGCGGAGGTCGCCGTGTGAACTGGAGTTGAAGCAGTTGCTTTCACCACCGGAGGTGTCTGAGCCTTAATGGAAGAAGCGTCCATACTCCCCGTAGGCTGCTTCACCGAAGACTGAAAATGTAAAAGATTAGTGGATGCAAGGAATTATTAGCATGTGTGTTACTTACCACACTCGGAGCAGTAGTCGTTATTGTACTGGTGGCCTGTGATGTTGACGGAAATGAATTGCTGGCGTCGCTAGTCTTTGTAAGGCTTCTTCTCCTCAAATTGATCATTTTTGAGCTTGCAAAAATGGCACATTGTTGCAAGTTGTGCGCCCAGAGATGAATTGTCATGAGTAATGGAGCATAATTCTTACACCGCCTTCTATAGAATGCATCAATCATTATGCACATAAGGGGCGCTGGAATTCCTGCACGCTAGGCACAGCAAAGCGGATCTTGGGCGCAGGGGCTCAACAAATAGCGCGGCGATGTGGTGGTTCGTGAACGCATGCTCAGCATTTATACCGGGGCCTTATTATCTGATTCATCCTAGCAAAGGTATTACAGTAACCCGAGCCGACTATGTATACTCGAATTCCTGAGCATGGGGTAGGCATGCGTGTATTTTTCAAACCTTACCTGGGGCTTCTGGTGAGATATATTCATCTTGACAACAATGTTGTCGTGCTCTGTCGCAATAATACGACAAGGTGACAGTTGTCCAGCCTGTAATATTCCAGGAGTAAACTCAGCCCGTGCCAATGTTCAATGCCACGTCTATCTGGCTCAGGGATAAGGAGCTGTATGCGCAATGGGGTACAGCATCGTGATGTGTTAGGTTGGTGGTGGTCAGGTACGACCCCTCCCTCCGCGAGAGGGTGTCAGTACGAGCCCCCCCCGCACACAAATAGGGCTTAGTCGTACGACGCCTCGCCCTTCCCCAACCACCTTCTACAAATCTTCCCACTTTCCATTTTCACGCCGAGAGTGGTGAGGAAGTTGGTAAATTCTCGTCGTCTCTCACTGCCATATACCCTCCCCCCCCCTCCGCTTGAATGAAAATTTTTCCGAATTTCCCGAAAATTTCTAACTTTTCTCCTCAAATTTTGACTGTCGAGCGGGATGTACATATATGTGCACACGAAACAGGAAGAATCACGCGAAAGATCCACAGCCGGGAAATAAACTTCTGCCCGCACAGCGACTAATTTCTCATCAAAGGCACATAACGACCGCTTTCTCATCTCCCGACGACACGGCCCGCCCCCAGAGAAAAGTAGCCCGCCTATGCGTTTCACACAACCGTGCTGTACCCTGAGTGTAGCTCACATCAGCAACGCCTTGTACCAGCTATTTTCTGCGGGTCGCCCCGAACTCGGACATCCTGCCCTTCTGCATTCTTCCTTCCACGTCGCTTACACAGATGTGGGCTAGGGATAACCCGCGCAATCGCGCCATGCGATATTTTCAGCGGCGCTTACCGAGCATGTTCGAGCGGTCAATCATACTTCTCCATGAAGGCCGGCGCGTTGCCGGTGCCTCTTGATTCATACCTTTTCTAGGGAGTTGTGACAAAATAGGCAATGAGTTCTGAATTATAATTAAAATTTAGGTGTTGTTCTGCCAGGGATGCCTTTTTTAGTTGCTTTTGCTAATTCACGTTAGTAGCACCTTACAATTTAGTACGTTCTGCGAAACTGCTGTGAAGCTGTAAAATGGTATACAAACCACTCCGATTACAGAAATTAGGGGTTTTTAGTAGGTGGCTTTGAATAACTTCGCTAAGCATTATTCGGTGCCCCCACCAAGGCACTTAATTGTCGAAATGATGACAATATTATGTTTTGGATGAATGTCAGCGAATTGCGCACAGGTTCTTATCATCATTTTCTACAATTACAATGCCTACATAAGCCCGTAGGATCGCATCCACGGGTATAGTCCTGATATTTCCCTTGACGGATACATAATACCAGTAACGTAATTCTTTTTCTCAGAACTTTGGAACTCACTGCAGCTTGAAGGCTCGTGACGAACTGGCGCAGATCTTTGGCGAGACGAGCCGACTCCGTTTTGGAATCGTTGAGCAACGTAGTTGACAACGATATTTTGTCCCAGCATAGCAATCGCACGAGATAGTACCGCCTGAACGCTGCTCATTAGATCTCACACTGTGAGGGAGTTAGGCACTATTCACCCTCACTGCGCCATTCTGCGGAATCGGGGTCACATTTTGGTCGAAATTCCCCACAAGCGGGAGATTCGACCGAATTTTCGGGGTTATTCGGAACCCCAGAACACTAGTATCGCCATCTGGTTAGAGCGGAAATGCTGGTCCTACCACCTGAGGTTGATGCCAAAGACAGTTCTGGCGTTGGCGCAATAGCGCGGCAAACAGATGTGGTATCCGTGTTCAGGGGTAGAATTACTCCCGAGCCAGTTTCAGCATATTTTGGTTGTTCCGAGTGTCTTGACCGCGAGTGAGGCCTGTGGTATTCCTGTTGAACGGTTAGAAAACCTCGAAAATTCCACGCAGTTCTACCCATGAAAAAGTTTTCCGACCAAAATCAGGACAATTTCTGAAACTGGGTACAAGGTGCGAATGGTGTCGGGTTTTTTCAACTAGAACGCTACAGATACCCGCTTACAGATACCCGCTTACTTTCAATGATCACGCTCTCCTAACCGCTAAGCTTATAAAAAGCGCTAAACAGATGATCTGAAGTCAACAGTGGTAAAAATAAACTGCGTAAATTTCTCACACGATATTTTCTGGGATCGATCACTCCTTTTTCTGTCCTTGAAGGGCTCCTGAAGTAAATTCCTCTGTGGAGCTTGTGTGAGTACTAAGCAGTAAAACATCTGTTTAGAGTGGTTCGTAGACAGGGGGACTGTTTCATGTAGCGTCACGCAGGCCTGGATGTCGGGTGGGAAATCTGTGTAGATGCATGCACAAACTAGGTGATATTTTATTGAGATTTAATCTACCATATTTGCATGTATCCGTTGGCTTGATATGGGCGCCTGACGGCGAATGCGCCAGCGGTGACTTGAATCGGGCCTGACGGCGTGCTAGAGTGTGAGGCTTTGGGAATCACGCTGCGGCGACTCTACGCTAAAGTAGCTTTTGGAAGGCAATGGGATGCTCCCAGCCTAGTTTTGGCGCAGTCCTCTCTGCACAGCACTTTGCGACATCAAAGGAGCTTCAAGGATCAAAGTTCAGACGTCAGTCGGTCGATTCCAGAGTGCTGTATGATATCTCTTCATTCAGATCTTAGCTTTTTTGAGTGCTATACTTGCCCTGATTGTTGATGATCAACGCCACGAACAAGTCACTGTTCTGCTTCCAAGCTTGTAGCCAAATAACCATCCCTGGAGTGAAAGGAAGTTTTGTTAACCCAGGCACCGACCCTGGATTTGACTTCCAGATCGCGCTCGAGGTAAAATGTTGATTAATTAAGTGAAAACTGTTGGAAATGCCACTTTGGCTTGTATTGAGCTTCTTTCCCCGTTATATTTTACTTGGGCACATCTAAACCATTTCGCACCTGGCATCCTACAACATACTTCACGAGCAGTATTTCGGAGCCTGGCTGTTGTTCGACATATCGCTTCTATTCGCTCAGGCAATCGCGGCAACAAGCTTTCCCGGCCTGGGTTCTATTTGATTACACCAAGGGTGTAAATAGGGGCATATTTGAGCCCTGTCCCACTTCCTTTCCTTCTCCCATTTTGAGAAGTACCCTCACCTCAATGAATCGCTCTTGTCGTCCATTGCTGGTTGCTTCTGCGATGTCGGCTGCTTCTGTGACTTCTCACTCCATAGTTCATGTAAGTAAGCGAGTCTTTTGTTGGCCTGAAATTGTCAGGGCAAGGTTATCTAATGACGCCATTATAACATCGATGAGAAGGTACAAAGGTTGCAGTTGAAGGTTGTAATCCGTAAGATGTGTAGATCAGTTCTATACTCACCATGTTAACAATTCCTTGGGCTCGCTCTTTACTCAACGCAATTTTTTCTTGCGCAAGGCCGCAATCTGGAATGGGGATATTGAGCCGAATAGGAAACAACAACGCCTTTTGGTAGCCCTTGTTTGTTGATCAGCACATTCTGCTCTGCTTGCATGGCGGAGTTACGTGGACCATCTATGAGAACGAAGCATTTGTTAAGGTGTCCGCCCACATGATCATCATGGAGAATGCGTCTAGTGCTATATCAGTGGAGTTTTGTTGTTTTCAATTAGGGAAGAGACCAGAAGGCAGGAGATTACGTCTTCCGACACATTCATCTGCTGGTATTCGTGAATGTATTTGAAGACAAACTGTGCAAGCCCCATGGTCCTGGTCCTTCGCCAGTCCGAGGTTATATGGGTGCCAGTCGACGGTATTGGGTTCTACGACTGAAGTATCGTGCTCTTTCTTCGCATGATAATGCATGGAATGGAGGGGTAGTGGTAGCCCAGAACGTCATGTCCACTACGCCGCCCGCGCTGCTGGGCACGATGCACACTCCTAGTCTTGGCTGGAACAACTACTTGCTGAGCCCTCTCCTTTTGATTGTTTTTACAACCACTGGGTAATGTGTTTTGGTGGCGGGACTAGCGCGCAACGTACATGCACTTTGAGATATGAGAGGATACCAGTGGTCGCAGGCTCATTCCGTGCCGTTTCAGTGAGAAAGTTGGCAGCGCCTGCAGTTTGCCGGCGGGTGAATGGTGAAGGGCACTGCGCCACAGAAGAGGATCTCTTCGGAGGTGAATGCCAGCAGTTTTGGAATCTCTTCGGAGGTGAATGTCATAGTTTGTACTTCGAATTTTTTATCTCACCATCAGCCTTGGGTTGCATTCACACTGATATCTGACATCTTGAAAAGGGATATAACACAGAAGTAAGAGAGTGGTTACTACGAGTATCATAACTTTGTCGCCTGAATATAATGGTTTACCTCTCATGAATATGGTGAGTGAGAACAACATGAAAGGCGTTCTTGGCTGCTGAATAGCGGTGGTGCTCTGGACGGTTTGGGTCAGGGTACAGCGTCGTGATGTACGAAACGGCCGTCAACGACACCTTCCCCCTAGAGTTTCGTCATCTGGTACGCCCCTCCCCTCCCCCTCATCTTGCCCGATCCGATTCTTTCCGACGATACTGTACCCTGTTCAGGGGCGAGACATGCATGACGCCCTTCAGCGTAGGAGATAAGCAGAAGAAAGCAGAAGAATGCTCATCTCGCAGAAGGATGCTCATGGATTGCCTGAGTTTTCCGAGATTATGGAGATCTTTTGAAGCTGAATTAAAGACAAGAGCAACGAGAAACACGAGAGATGCTTCCAATAAGACATGGTATGTCGGACGTACCATCTCCTTCCCTGAAGACCGCCTCCAGGTATCAGTATCAAGCGCATGAATACTTATACACTTACCGCTTCATTTATGAAATGCAATTCAGATTGCGCGGCGGCTTTGCTTCATGCATGTACGCATATACTCTTGTTTTGGCACGAAATCTTGAGTTGTGACCCGCACGAAACACGGCAGGCTGAAGCATTTCAGGGGTGGGGGACATCAGGCATCAGTTGTGCTGCGAACTGCCAGCTTTCTACATACTTCTTGGTCTGAAATAGGCTGGTGCCGCGCCGCGCTTTGAACGCCCCGTCTTCCACGGCGAACAAGGCTACTTCGACTAGCTGAGAGCTAATGCGGTACACAAGACACACAGGAAAGTATGCGTTAGCCCAATTGGTGGCGAAGATGAGAGGTTACTCTTACCTCTGCTGAAGCGTCGCCTTGCCTAACGAGTTCACTGTTGAGTTCACGATTCTCTCATGTGCTTTCTCTAATTGCCACGTCGTTCCGTTTGAAAAAAAAGAAAGTGTGGCACTCCAGTTGAATGACTGTCATAAAGGTTCGGACTACCCTCTGTCATAGTTGAACTCCGTTCCACTCTGCACGAGAACACAGCATAGAATGAAGGCGCCTCTCTTCAGTTCCTCTGCTTGATATCAAGAGCAATTTACTAATTCCTGAATTGTGATCCTCATGTATGATAAACTCATTTCTTTAGAGAGCTCTAGGTTCGCTTTTTGAACGATTTCTTTAACACATTCCACCTGATATTGCTTCTTAGATGACGATTTGTTAGTCTCAGAGAGAAGACTTCCTTTTGCTGTCACCCTTCTTGACGGACATAGAGCCTGATCATGGATAGAAACTCCTCAGCTAATGACGGCGCACTGGCTGAGAAACAAAAAAAAGAAACTTGAACTTGATTCGAGGAACATGTTCCACAGCGGTCACTTCTGGCCACTGGCCCATGTGAAGCAACATTTCAGAAACTCGCAGAAAGCCATAAGACAAAACGTGTTGACCCCCGTATGATCGCGCTTCGAGAAGTATGAAGTCGCTTTACGCTGCTCGGCAGTTTCCGCTGCTCCCACGTTTCACCGACCCCAGAGCGAGGGAAAGATGGGTTAACTTGGGCGAGCTTTAACCCCACAGTGGGATGAGCTTCAACCCTCACAGTGGGTTGCTGCGTCCATTAACGGATAAACCACCTAAGAATCAGAGAAATGTGGTTTATACCAGAGGAGCATAAAATAGTGAAGCGCTCGATATTGACTGATCATGTGAAAATATGCAGGACTAAGAGAAGAAAGAAGGCTTGAAACAATAGTTCATAGGCAGGAGCAGACCTGGGTCTTGCTCCACAGACCATGCATTTGCTTGTGTCGCCACTCGGAGAAGTAATTCTGAAGAATCATGTACCCTCGCCCTGTGTTACAGTGAAGGGCTTTTGGTGCTCGGATCAAAACATGAATTAGCTCAATAGGACTATTGACCCCCTAACGTTTTTGACCATTTGTTTTTACAATACACGCCAGAAAATAGTGAATTCACTTTTTTGCGTCATTTTTCGAGCACTTAAGGAGAACGCTGCATATCACTTGCAGGTTTCTTCCTATGTAGAGCAATATTTAGTTATGAAGGGTGCAGATTCCGAGTTCAGGGGAACAAGGATTTCTGCGCAGCTTAATGAGCAAAGAGCTACAGTGTGAGTGATTCAATTGTTTTGTGCAAAATTGGTTTTTGCATTTTGTGTGAAGTGATTAAGCTACGCTGGGAGAAAATCGTTTCTCTGCACCATTCCCTCCCCCCCCCACCGTCCTCCTAGCGTGTTCTTTTATATAAAACCAGTCGGATCGCCCGGCTAACGCCGAGCTCTCCTCCTTATTGGAAGCCCGGCTTCGCCGGGCTCATGCAACTGCTCTGAGGCTCACTTCTTAGCTCGTGAAAGAAAGGAGCAAAGTAAGGCATAAGCAGGGCGATACTACTGTCTTAGGCATTCATGATGCTCTCATGGTGACTAACCGCTGTCTTCTAATCAAATAAATGTAGAAACGCGCCATATGATCGCAGGGCACTTTCATAATGAAAAGTTCAAAATCTGGTCATGGATAATCGATTACTCTCCTCCCCATCCTATGACAGCCATGGATGCTTCGGTCTCCGCAGTCGCTGCGTGCTCCTGTTCAGGCGAGCGTCGGTCGCGTCAATATGGTACCCATTTAACTCACCTATCCCCAAATAACTCAAGCTATTCCGCGCTCAGCCCCCTACAAGGTACGCCAGCTGCTAACATAAGAACGAATAGCCCGCCCGTGCAATGGTTCTGAGTGCACTAAATGGTTGGTTGTGGAGGGTGTCATGACTATCAAAACGCTGCCACAACTTGATAATGCAACATTAATCGGTTCAGTTCCGATTGCGGTCGATCCATTTTCTTCTCATCTTATGGCAACCGTAGACGCCTTACCGCCGCAGGCGCTATGTGCTCCTATTCGCGAAATCGCCTCATCTGGTACCCCTTCACCACATCATATCCCACTGACCCTATTTAACCGTCGCCCACTCCCGCAGCGTGTATGGCAGCCGCCAACGTCGAGCAGCTGGGTGCAACATGGGGCACTACGCGGCGCACTGTTCTCTGTGGCTCACGTCCAGCTCCCCAAGCGATCAGCATGCCTGCAATAGCACAGAGTCTATCAAAGTGGTAGGCTTAGATAGCGAGAGCGATTCAGAATCCAAACAACTTCTTAGTCCGTTGCTGTAACATGGATTACCTTGAAGATTTGCTAGCGGTTGTTTCCCTCTCTCTTGCCGCTGCTTCCGCTATTCATGCGCGTACGCTACGAATCCCCTTACTGTACCCAGTTTGCCCGATTCAATCCATATGCTCCATTTCCCCTGCATGGGCTCAGATCCGACTGAGTACGCGCAAGGGAGTGAGGATGGGGAGAAGGGGTCACTCGATACTAACTCCCACCTTCCTCATCCTCACCCCATTTCCGTACTCGCCACTCCACCCCCCCCCCCACCACCTTGCTCCCTTGCACGCACTTACGTCCAACTGCCACGCGAGCAACCCGTGCAATGGCTCGGAGTGTAGTGGTTTTCTTATATAGTGGAGAGTGTTATGTCCATGACAAAACATTTTCAGTTCGTAACGGTTAACGATGGATTAAGCTAGCGGTTCTCTTAGCCGCGGTTGTTTCCTACACCTTTTGCCTGCTCGTTTCTATCAGCGCGCGCTTACGACGGACGCACCCTCTGTACCCCCTCCCCGCGACCCCTTCACTCTGCCTCCTCCCATACATGTGCCCAGCTCCGGCTGAGCACGTGCAGGAGAGGGAGGCAGGGCGACTGGGCACCCCCACCCTGCCCCCGCACGAGCACACGTCCAGCTGCCACGGCAGCAGCTCGTGCAATGGCTCGGAGTGTACCGAATGGTTGTCTTATATAGCGGAGGCTGTTATCACAATCAAATCATTGGATTGCTACATCCTCCCAATCGGTTACCGGTTTGCCTAGCGGTCGTTTTCGCCTCCAGCGAACTCGAACCCGTGAAGTATTGTGCGGACGGACAGACAAACATACATACAAACCTACATACAAACATACAAACCGACACACAAAGTTACTGGTTTATAGAATGAAAAAGGATCTGACAAGGATACATTCATATTATCTGCAGCTTCACATGAGTGTACATGACTTTATGGGATGCTCAGCTAGTATACAGACATATCTTTCTATGATTCTACCCACAAATCAATCCCTTCCGCCTACTGCTGTTTGGCAGAGTTATATCAGACGGCATTATGCCCTCGATGGACTGTTACCCATAATGATGTCGTCTGGGTGCCCATGAGGCTATAATATGATGAGCGGCAGGTCATCCAGGCTCCAGAAGATGGCGGGCTGATGGACGTATATATTGGGAGGTCACCAGGTATGTTGGCATTCCTGGCGTTTATTCTTCAGTCGTTCAGCATGGACTTGGTCATGCGAAATTGAGTTTCTTCTCTCAGATTTTCACACCTTTCAGATTTTAGTTTTTATTAAAGTTAGGAGAAGTTATGAAAATAGTGAAATGACATATGATGATAAAAATAAAAACTGTTTTTTTTTATTTTGGAAAAATCTCACTAATTTAGGGAATCACGTTTAATTTAGCTGCATAAGCAAAGCATTTGTTATAGTTTCAGTACATTCAATTAGGCTGAGAGCTTCTTTCTCCGATATAGGAATTTTCCGAAATTTCTAAACATTATAAAGTGGGATAACTGGCCGCAAAGTAGTTTATTAAGTTTCTGTCTACGCGCAGTTTCAGGATGATGTCAGTATTCTATTTTTCCATCTGTTTATTGTTTTCTAGTTGAGTTAGCCGAGAAGCCGCTCGAAATGCGTGTACTTCTCTCGCTTTGCTGAATTACCTTTCAAAGGGGGTGATAGTAGTAGGGCCTGGCACAGGGGGGCGTGGTGTGGCTGTCTTTTAAGGCGTCGATTCCTGTAGTTGCCAAAATAGAGAAACGTTTGAAATTGAGGTTTTTGGGTATCTGACGTGGTTCCATGTAAGCTAAAAGGGTCTGATCAGTTTTCCAGCAAATTCGCTCCACATGAACTTAACAATTTTTTCCCTCAAGTTCTTGCAAAACATTTCGTGGACCTTTGGCCACCGTAATACGTCATGGCGCTCAGTGGCGTGTATGAGGGGTGGCGTGTTATGACTTCAATGAACCGTCCGTTCCTACATCTGCTCAGCTTTATTGTAGTTATTTTATTTTAAGTAAGAATATTAATCTGAGTAAGAATATTTACTCAAGCATCAAAAGTAGGAGTAAATGCGCGACTAATAGGTTTGGGTGATCAAAAGTTATACTGGATTTGGCTTAATCTATACAAAATCCTTCGAAACAAATCATAGAGAGAAAAATGAGCGAGTAGAAGCTTTTCAGGAATCGAAGGGTCCAGTAGGGCACTTTTAGACCAATGGTTATGTCAACAGTGCCCCATAGAAAAAATGCCCTTTGATTTGCGGTGCACTTTAGCGCTTGCACTTTTGTTCCCAATGATCGCTGATGTTCTTTGGTTTAGGTATAGTTAATTGGCAAGCATAGAAGTCATAACCGTTCCTGAGAGTTCCAAAACCTACAACATCAGAAAATAGGGATGCGATTTCTAATTTGTTAACATTAGGACGACAACCGATGATGAACTCCCAATTTTTGACAATTCTGCGACTTCTCAGAGGATATCACTCGAACCCGTACTTAGTCGCAGCTGGACGTTGAATCAGAAATTTATTGCACCAAAACAAAACTAAATTTTTTTTATTCTCCCCATAAAGATAAAGACTACAGTGAATTATATTGTTATATTCACTGGATCTTACCAACAACTGGCTAGCCCCAATTCAGGCTCGAGTCCTAGTCCCGTGACATTTTTCTCTCTGAATTCGTTTCTGCTGCTCACACAGCTCATTATTCTCAAATTTCGGAGCAAAAATATTTCTAGATGATGCTGTCAACGCTGACACCACGACTTGTCTCCAGGCAATGCATGAATCGAATTATTGCCATCAGAAGCGCATCCAAGGGAATGCAGCTCTCGGTGAGTGAACTGTTTCCTTCCACCTCTTTCCTTTTATTCCTCACAGGCTTCTTCTCATAGATTTTTAGGTCGAACTGACAGTTTATGATCTTGCAGGGGAAGCAGAGCTTGACCGTTGATCCAGCACTTGGACATTTCAAATACGAGAGGGACATTTCTCGAGATCCTCGTTATACCAATCCACAGAAGCTCGGCGACACCCCCACGAGGTATGTCTTAACTTGGTGCAGATGCTTCTAATGTAAATTCCCACTAAAAGGGAAGAGGTCGATGCCTCTGCTCCTTCACTGTTGAGAAATCACACTGAGTTATTTTCACGAAAATATCAAGTGATCTTTTATCCGCTGCTAGGAACTTCTAGCCGATGAGAAAAGCTTTATGAGGTAACAAACATTAGCATACCGTATATCGTATGCCTCGAGTACGGTATGGTAATATCGATCGGGGCTTGAAGATAGGTCAAACTTTACGTACGCGGTCACAACAGCACGCTCATATGCTCTGTGCGCGAAGTGTGATCAACAATTGCTGGAATTCTGAGGACCGCTAACTCTTTATCTACCATAAGAGAATAGGTATTTGCTGAATCACAAACTTCATACTCCCAGCCGGCGTTGCGCGCGTTTTGAGCGACTAGGAAAGTATAGACAACGGTATAGCGTGTTGAAGGTACATAGGCGTTTTCAACAACCGGGAAAGTATAGGTATCAAACCAAACGAGTTTTGTGCGTATGCTGAAGACGCTGAATCGATAGCTATACTTTCCTAGTCGCTCAAGACGCTGTCGAACGCTTAGAACGCTGATGCGAAGTATGTACGCAATCCGAGACAGGATACAAAGTCGCTGTGTGAAACACATAGGGGTCGTACTTTTCGGTTGGGGCGAGGCCGTTCTTGGTCGTTGCTGAAAGAGGCGTGAAGTCGTCATTCCTTCGAGAGAAATTTGCCGCCTTGGAAAAATCTTTTTCCGGCTGTTTCTCGGGTTTTTTTTCCGTGATTTTTTTTCCTGTTTCATGCGTGCTGTACCCCCTCCGCTCGACAACAGTTT